ATAAATTTCAATTTATATGTGTTTAAGGGCCTTTTAGTAGAATTCAAAGACATTATTACCTCTACATGCCCCGAACCAATAGGATTTACGAGAAATTCATAGTCTTCTACTCATTCATGAGTTCATGAATAAGACTATCAAAATGACTCATTTTTTGGTGCACCGAACACTAGTTTACTACCAACTCTACCCACTTATAGCCTTATTCAAAGATCTAGTGGTAGCACATTTAATAGATCGATTCACTCGGTCGTGGAAAAGGCGAAATTACCATGGAAGAGGAAGGAGAAGGTGCTCTAATAGAACTCATAGAGGAGGCAACCGAGCTACTTGGCCACCCATAGAAAATTAAACCAAGTGCCAACTCGTATGTCTCGGAACCACACTACTCTCTAGTGTTCCCAACGCTACTTGCAGCCATAGCCCCCACGATCAATTTAGCCTCCTAGTCTTATGTCCATCCTTCCCTCTTGTACAATCAATCTTGGTGCTCGGATACTAGTGCTTTGCATCATGTTGCTTTTAACCTTACAAGTCTCAACACATATGAACCTTATAAAGGCCTAGATTAGCTACAAGTTAGAAATGGTGAGTACCTACCTATTACACACATTGTCACTAGTTACATTTAAACGCCATCTAAAACTCTTCATTTACTTGATATGTTACATATTCCATAAATAACTCACCCTTTACTCTCCGTAAAGAGATTAGCCCGTGATAATAACTTATTTTGAGAATTTCATCTTTCTACCTTTTCTCTTAAGGATCGTGTACACAAGACATCAATTCTTTCCGGACCACGTGATAACGACTTATATGTCTTCCCTCCACAACCCATTCCTCTTGCGTATTCTCGCTAAAGCGTCTTTAAAAATTTAGCACTCTCGATTAGGATATCCATATAATCGGATTCTTAATATTTTTTAAAATAAATATAATGATTTAACTACTTCCTCTCATATTATAAACACCTATCTATCTTGTCCCCTTGGAAAAGACAAACAAATTATCATTGGCCTCTTGTTAATATTAGTATTAAACTTTTAAATCTTCTTTTTTAGTGATGTATGGGGACTATCACCTACTCTTACTATTGATGGTCATAAATATTATATGATCATTATTAACCATTATTCTAAGTTCATTTGGTTTTATCCATTGCGTAAAAAAACGAAGTATTTGATGTTTTTCTTCAATTTCAAAAGTTTATTAAGAGATAATTTAATTGCAAAATAAAACAAGTGAAAACCAATTGGGGGTGAATTTCGCTACCTTAATTCTTCTTTCAAAATAATTGGCATTTCTCATCGCATCATATGCCCTCACACATACGAACAAAATGGTACTATTGAAAGACATCATCATCACATTGTTGAAACTAGTTTGACCCTCCTAGGTAAAGCCAATGTTCCTCATAGTTTTGGCACTTTTTTTTTGAAAAAATTATATTTTTAATCAATACGATGTCATCCCTCGTTATTCAAAATGAGTCTCATTTTGAAATAGTGTTTACAAAAACCTAGATTATTCATTTTTAAAAATAATTGGTGGTCTTTGTTTTCCTTTTCTATGACCATATAACAAAACCAAAATGGATTTTCGGTCTACTCTTTGTGTCTTTCTTAGATATAGCCCTTCTCTTATGGGTTATCACTTGTTTAAATCCTAAAACTAATCGACTTTACATTGGTCATCTTGTTTGCTTCTTATAATCCAAATTTCCTTTCTCAAAACCACTCCATTTAAAATTTTCAAACACATCCATTTGTGCACTCTATTACTTAGGGTAACTTCTCTCTCCACATTAATCCTCACCCTACACATATAGATTCCCATCACTAGATCCCTACTCCTTGCCAAAGAAATACACACAACACTCAACTCATAGCCCCCACGACCTACATCCCGCATCACCCTACACCACCGCCTACCTACCAAGCCTATCGGCTAGCGTACAATATACGTCTAGCCCTCTAGCGCGTCAACCAGCGTACAACACGCACAACCCACCTAGCCCATTAGCCAATGCACATCACATGCCCAAACCACACAACCCACCAAGCCCCCCACGGCCCACACCACACGCCCGACCAACCCAATATGACATGCCATCATATAAACCCTTCAAAATCTCGTGACCTCATTAGCCGTCCCAACCCCTACCATAAAATCAAACATCATAGCCTTCCTCTTCAAACCTCATTGTCACCGGTACAATAGCTCCCCCTCTCTACACCCCTATCTCACATCAAACTAATGAAGGGTTAAATTTGGTGTTTAATTTTAGTAACTATGATTTAGCTACACAATAGGTTAGTACTTCTCATTCCACCTCGGAGGCAACTCGATCTCACCCCATGGTTCTAAGGTATATGACCAAGGGATCTCATCCAAGGGTTTCCATGGCGATCACAACCATCACACCATCCGAATCTCCTACTTGCTACACCGTAGCTAGTAAACACTTAGCTTAGAGATCTACCATGGCAGCTGAAATCAATGCTCTACTCAAAATCGAAACATGGCCCCTAGTACCTCATACTCCTTTCATGAACATTGTGGGCAATAAATGGGTCTTCAAAACAAAAAGAAAGATAGATGGAAACCTTGAGAGACACAAGGCCAAATTAGTTGAAAAAGGCTTTCATCAACAAGATGGGGTAGATTATAGAGAAACTTTCAGCGTAGTCATTAAGCTAGTATCCATTCGATGTGTACTCATTTTGGTAGTAAACAATGAGTGGCCGAGTTAGGCAATTAGACATGCATAATGCTTTCTTGAATATAACTCTAATAAAAGATGTCTACATGTCTCAACCTATTGGTTTTATTGATAGCAAGTACCCGAAATATGTGTGCAAACTTCATAAATCCATTTATGGATTAAAACAACACCACGAGCTTGATTCTCCTGTCTTCGGGAATTCTTAGTCAAATTTGGATTTGTGGCTACAAAAACAGACTACTCTCTCGTTTATCTACACTACCTAGGGGTTCAAGGTATTCCTACTTATGTATGTGGATGACATTCTCCTTATTGGTAATAATGAGTAGTTCATATCTTCTATTGTAAATGCTCCGAACACACAGTTTACAATCGGGGATCTTGGTAAACTCGGCTTCTTTCTTGGCATTGAGGTGATCGAAACTTCCAAAGAACGATATGCTCTTAAAAAAATACATAACCGACATCTTGTAAGAAAAGGAATCCTATAATGTCATCTAGTAACCACCCCTATGCCAACCATCTCTAAACTAACAAAGGAGTCGGGAGAAGAATTTTCTAATGCTACACTATATCGATAGGTTATGGATGTTTTGCAACATGTTACATTTACACGATCGGACATTGCCTATGCGATCAATAAAGTTTGTCAATTCATGCACAATCCAAAGATGGATCATTGGGTTGTTGTAAAAAGAATACTACGAAACCTTAACTACATAGAAAATTATGGTTTACGCATCCACAAGTCAAGTGCTCCCCTCTCGGGTTTTCAAATTTTGATTGGGTAGAGTCTATTAATGATAGAAAATCAATTAAGGGTTATGTAATGTATCTAGGTAACAATCTTATCTCTTGAAAATCCTCTAAACAAAAGATCGTGGCTAAAAGCTCAACTGAAGCCGAGTACAAAGTAGTAGCCGATCTAGCAGTCGAGTTGTCTTGGGTTACCTCTCTGCCACATGAACTTGGTGTACCTCAATCGGCCTCACCCACTATTTGGTGTGATAATATAAGTGTTACCTATTTAGCAAGTAAACCCTCTGTTTCATGCTCATACAAAACATATTGAAATAGATTTCCATTTTGTCAAAGACATGGTGGGAAAGGAAAACCTCCAAGTCAAATTCATTTTCAGCAAAGATCAATTAGTCGACGTTCGACCAAACCACTTGCTACAATAAGATTCTAGTTTCTTAGAGACAAATGCATTGTTTGCGAGATCCCACAGTTAGTTTGTGGGGGAGTATTAGATAGAACAGAGTTCTCCGGCAACAAGAATTTCAAGGCTGGTAGTAACAGCAACTCAAGCACATGCAGAAATAGAGACTCTAGCACCAATGAGACTCTTGCCGTGGCTCACCTGCAACAACATGATAAGAATAGAGGATGAGTGTCATCTTCCAACACAAACACTTATTCCTTGTATAAACTAGTCATATTTGTTGTCTCCATCTCTTAAATATATCACTTGTATAAATAGAGTCATAGAGCAAAGTCAATAATATACTGAAAATCACGTTGCCCCTCTTTCCAGAATTTAACTCAAGGAATAGTCTCTATAGAAATACTGATTTTATAGCATGAATTTAGTTCTCTTAACTTTTTTAGTTTAATCTCTTGTATTATTTTATTACATCCACTTTGTAAATTTGTCAGCCGCCACCTGGCTATCATTTTATTAATCTAATCACGATTTGTTACCAAGAAAACAACTTATTGTTGAGTTATTTATTTGAAGAAGCCGTAGCTGTTACTATAGTTGAAGGTGAAGAAGCCGTGGCTGTTGCTGTTGTTGAAGGATCTTGTCTTAACAATGATTGAGTCTACATTTAATTCGGAATACTTATATGATAGATTATCATTCGCAATATGTTTTATTATAATTATTCGAAATGACATAGTTTTTCTAATCATGAATAAACTAATAGAACTAGATATATAAATACCAGTTTACTGGTGCTTTAAATATTCGCCATGGCTTCTGTGAAATTTTTTTGGTCCATCGTGATAATGCATGGATATCCATGCATGTAATAATTATTACATGGAAAAGATGGTAATAAAGGTGCTTTGTTATAAATTTGTCGGCCCCAAAAAAGGGAAAAAAAAAAAAAGTATGTCAGCCATGAAAAGCAAGTTTACAGGAAAATCAAAGCATGCACATTTCACGTGTAGGTCATACTTTTCACTGTTAGAGGTTCTATATAAAGGGGCAGATCATGAGAACTGAAACCACAAAGCCTTTGAACAATAATCATACTTAGCAGAAATGGCTACTAGAGAGTTGTCTTTTCTTTTAGGTTTCTTAGTGTTGCTTAGCTCATTGGCTCCTGCTACGCCAATGACATATGTTAACTGCACAGTCCCAAAAGATCCTGGATTTACCAGAAAGTCCTTTCCAGATGGCTTTGTTTTTGGGACTGGCGCAGCTGCCTATCAGGTAGCTAGAATATATGGACTTATCCCTCATGGGATCCAGTCCTAACAATATGAGCTAGCTAGTATATATATGCAATATTTGTTATATAGTGCTTTTTTAATTCTTGGTTCTTCCTTTGCTATATATATGCAGTTTCATCCTTATAGGTTAATGTCAACTGATTGTCGAATCTAATAAAATTAGTGGAAGAAACTATGCATCGATGCGTTTTCTAAAGGGGAAAGAAATGTGTGCGTGCGTGCAATAATTACTCTCGATGGGAATATTCAGAAAAATGTCAGTTCATTTTTTGATAAATCAAAGAGATATCTTCCAAAGCATTACAAAGAAGTTTAAAACCTAGTTAGCATCGATATGTTATTAATTAGTGAATTTATTTGTAGAATAGTAAAAATATAATTTTATTGTTGAATGGGTGTTTATTTTATTTTATTTTTCTTTTTAGTATTGAGCAAATCTTCGCATGTGAGAATGTTTATTGAGCTTAAATGTAGTTAACAAACATACAAGGGCGCAAGTATATCTATAACTCTTTAAGCTTACTAATCCCACAAGCACCTCATTATAACAGACTTGAATTCAAATTATTAATGTTTGTATTGAATTTTGATAATATTTGTAATAATAAAAAAATATTATTATTGCTATTATTAGCTTTTGGTTCAATTGGGAGCTCCATCAAGGCCTTCGTCTATGGTGGGAGTAGCCTTCTTCAGATCCAATCCCCTTTTATGGATTTAAAAACCTGAAATTCTTTAAGTTGTAATCCCTAGCCTTAACCTCAACCTCTAGGGTACATAACGCTTTTGAGAATTTTGTTGGTAATTTATGATTAAATAGAGGTCAAAGAGTCTTTAACATCGAATTATCAAACATGATTCTATTTCTTTTTTCTTTTTTCTTTTTTTTTCCATCACAACGAATATCAAAGATTTATTGATCACAAAATTAAAATATGAAATCTAATTTTTTATAGCTTTAGTTAACAGAGTTTGTTCATGTTTTGATAAAACCACAATATGAAATACGTACTTATTGATGTATTGGAATAGGGTTTTCATCTCTACCTAATGTTGAAAATGTGTTTGTGCATGGTTTTATATATCAAGTACGAAGGTCATGCAAACAAAAGTGGCAGAGGGCCTAGCATATGGGACGTATTTACTCATGATTATCCAGGTTTGTATCTCTCTATAAATGTGTGTATGTGTGCGTGGCTGAGTGGGAGGGGAGACTGAAATTATGCACCACCGTGGATGAGTGTTTTTGGGAGGGTCTTAATCTACTATTATTACTAAAATTGGAGCCCTTCGCGTTCCTCTTATTCTTCAATAAGTTAAATGAAATTTTTGGATCTATATCTATTATAGCTGTATATATTAATTTGAAACATTATTTTAATAAAATTTTGCAGGCAGAATAAGAGATCACAGCACGGGTGACATCGCAGTTGATTTATATGATCGTTATAAGGTAAAGAGTTGATAACGTTTATTTTTTTAATGTATGTATCAATATAATTTGATTCTTATTTTTTTTAATTATATAATATCAAATGTAAAATTAATATGGCAGAAAGATATTCAAAGGATGAAGGACATGCATATGGATGCTTTTAGATTCTCTATCTCTTGGACCAGAGTTATACCTAGTAAGCTTTTTATAGCATAAATTAATGATGCAGTGGGGAATATGTTTTGCTAATTATTTTTCTATAAATCAGCTTTGATTCTTATATATTTTTCTATGTGTATTTAAAATAGGTGGGCAGGTACAGTGGGGAATAAATGAACAGGGAATCCAGTTTTACCACAAACTCATTGATGAAGTCAAAAAGAATGGTGAGTATTATCACCTATATATTTCAAAATTAATAATAAAATTTCGCTTATAGTTTTATTATTCATTTCTTATCCATTACATACAGGACTCGAGCCTTATGTGACTATTTTTCATTGGGGTACTCCTCAAGCATTGTATGACAAGTATGGTGGCTTCCTAAGTGAAAGCATTGTGTAAGTTTTCCATGAAAACATCAGCAATAATTCATAAGAATATTACTCATATTACAAAGAACTCAAGATTTGAAAACTTAAAATGATGAATAATGAGTTTTTATTACCCAATCTACAGCGATGATTTTCGAGATTATGCCGACTTGTGTTTCAAAAGATTTGGTCATAAGGTGAAACATTGGTTTACTTTAAATGAGCCAGACACTTACAGTGCTCATGGCTTTGATTCTGGCGTTGGTGCACCGGGGCGATGCTCACCATGGGTGAATAAAGCATGCCAGGCAGGAGACTCTGCTACTGAACCTTACAGAGTTTCTCATAATTTGCTTCTTTCTCATGCAGCAGCTGTAAAATTGTATCGAGAAAAGTACAAGGTATAACGAAACTTGGTAATAAAAAAAGATTAATGCATAAATAATTACAAATTATTTACTACAAATACCTTAGAAATATAAAATTTCTTCCTCATGCATCGTGACTGCTGTTAGTCAAATGTGTAGAAAAAACAAAATGGAACGATTGGGATAACACTCTGCTCCTTTTGGTACGAACCTTATTCCGATACCCCAGCAGATTATGAGGCAGTTCAAAGAATTCTTGATTTCGACCTTGGCTGGTGAGTATTTTATATATATCAAAAGGATATTTATAACAGGTTTTTAATTTACTTCTATTATTATTAACTTTTTTGCATTAATATAAAATTAAAAAAAATGTCTTAAACTAATACAATAATGTTTTAGGCACTTGAGTCCAGTTATTTATGGTGACTATCCAAGGAGCATGAGGAAGTTAGTTGGAGATCGACTGCCACCTTTCACTACCCAAGAAAGTGAAGATCTTCGAGGATCTTATGATGTTATTGGATTAAATTACTATGGTGGATATTATGCACAAAATCTTAGCCAACGACAAGATCCTGATCCTACTCACATTCGATACGCAACAGACGCTCTTGTCAATGTTATCGGTAATTAAATTCACAATTAAAAAAAACCACAATAATTTGCAATATTCATTGAATTAATTGGAAAATGAAATATACATGGCAAGTTAATGAATTGACGAAGTTAAGGCTCTCAAAGTAAGAGGAAGTGTTTAAGAGGTTTTATGTTCAAGTCCTACTCTTGATGTGAAAAATGAAAACAGAAAATTCTAAGAGAAGTTCTCAATCAGGCCGAAAAAAATAATAATAAAAAAAAAATAGACTAATTTATTTTTATTTCAAGACACTCAAGTTTAGTGTGTAATTATTGATTATTTTCTTTTCCTTTTTATTTCACAGGGAAGAGAGATGGAAGGCTCATTGGACCACAGGTTTGTGTGCAAGAAAACCTTTATGTATAAAATTAACAATTAGAAATTAAACCTGCGTGGTGGATACATTACATTTAAATGCTAATAATTAATTAATGGATTGCTAGAAAAATATCTCTCTATGATAACATGCAATTAACTTGGCAGTGCTGAATTTTTAGGCTGCTTCACCCTGGTTATATGTTTATCCAAAAGGAATACGATATCTTCTGAACTACACCAAGGATCAATACAGGAATCCAACAATTTATATAACTGAGAATGGTATGGAATATATTATCACAGTTGAACTTAGATATAGTAATTAATTACTTGTCTCATGGTCAAACAAATTATAATCTTTTTACTACATTGATGATCATTCAGGAGTTTCTGAGTTCAACAATGGATCCGATATACCATTGGACACAGCCCTCAATGATACTTGCAGGGTAAAATATTACCATGACCATCTTAAGAATGTCCTAGGATCCATTGAGTGAGTTTTCTTGTCTCAAAACCATTTTTAAATTGTTATGGATACTAATTGGATTATTGTATTGATCTATTGACAATTAATTTTTTTTTCTTTTTTCTTTTTAGAAAATATGGTGTCATTTGTAAAGGATACTTCGCTTGGACATTTACAGACGATTTCGAATGGCCAAATGGTTATACCATAAGATTTGGTCTTTACTACACAGACTACTTGCATAACTTGACAAGACACCCTAAGAGGTCAGTGGGCTGGTTCACTAGATTTTTGAACAGGGAATCAAACTGGAGCGTTCCATTGCGTTTCTACAATTCTGCTGGAAATGAAGACGAGTATGCTGATGAATGAAAAATCAATCTGCAGTCTACTATCTTCAAATAATTAACAACTAGGATATTTCTTATCCTGGAATAAATCTAAAGTTTATTTCCAATTACTATGCTTGTATCTGTGTGATATCATATGCTTCCAACATGGACTAGGAAGACCTTACCTAGTTTACCATCGTTGGAATAAAACATGTGATGTATGTTATAAATAAAAGCTTTTTGTTTATTAATTTCTTGCCTAGATTGTGTTTACCCGTTTTTACATGGGCATCATTTCATATGGATGAGAAAAATGGTGCATTCGACTGTTTGATAATCCCGTTGGAATAAGCAAAGTGGTGGATATGAACATCTTTAAGGATTCTTTTCGCTATAGATAAAATAGTGATCCTATAAATTTTACCCAATAAGCTATCCTATACAAAATAAGCAGAAAAAATATGGTCCCAATCTAATACATTATCATGGAAGACTATCATTCCTTACTAATCAAATTACCGAATAACTGCATAAAACCAAACCTTTTTTCTACCTACGAAAATATATATATATACGATTTCTAAAACAACTGACATGACATAACTCAAGTACTGTCTCACCAAAATAAAATCCTACACCATATAATCCACACAAACTTTCAACGAGGAAGAATATGTTGTTTCCTGGCTATAACTGTAAAAACGGGTAGATATTGACTTCTTTTTGAATTATACCTTCAGGGATAAGTGATCTTATAGTATTTAATCTCTTCAAAATTGCCAGCCAAGCAAAGACTTCAACCTTTGGTGGCGTAACACAAGACTGACACCAAAGAACCACCCCCCCCCCCCCCCCCTCCTTCCACTACAACAAAATAGAAGTATAAAAGAGATATGGTTCTAAACCGTCTTAAAGTTTAATGATTTTTTAACTCATATGTATTATATAGAAACAAATTTGAGATGGTTTACAAAACCGCCCTAGAAAACCACCTTAAAGTTTAATGGTTTTTTAACTCATATGTATTATATAGAAACAAATTTGAGATGGTTTACAAAACCGTCCCAAGTTTTAAGGAGAAGCCCATTTTTTTATTTCTTAATATATATATATATATATTTTTTGTTCTAAAAGGGGTAAGATCGGATCAATTCAAACACTTAATTATCCCTATCCTCTTAAGGTTTTCCTTCTTCTCCTACTCATTCTCCTCTACTTTTCCTTCTTCTTCTTCTTCTTATTATTATTATTGTTATTTGTTCCGAAAGGGAGAAGATCAAACTCTCGTGATGCTTCATTATCGAGAGCTTCCCTTCTTCTCATCCGCTTCTTCTCCTCTACTTCTTTCGTCTTCTTTTTTTTTTTTTTTTTTTGGTTCCGAAAGGGAGAAGAGATGCTTCATTATCCCTCTCCTCTTAGGGTTTTCCTTCTTCTCCTTTACTTCTTCCTTCGTCGCCTTTGCTTCTTCCTTCTTCTCCCAGCATTTGTCTTTCTCTCCTTGTTAGAAACTAAATTATAACTATCTATCAAAAAGCCTAATTTCTAATTTTAAGAGTCTTTCCTATCCATAAATTGACATATTTCAAATCAATTGGGTGCTTACTATTGATTTTCACATTGATCTCTCAAATGGTAAGTATGCTAAATTAATTTTGTATGTGATCTTTTCTCTCTATTTTTTAATTAATTTCTTGATGTATCCATCGGTATTCAATTAGATGCGAGTGGTAGTTGCACTTGAAAGATAAAGCCATTGTAGAATTTTTTTTTCTTTAAAAGGATTCAATAACTAATTCCAGTTAAATTGTGCTTCATTCTAGTTATTAGAGGTTAAATTTGGATGTAATGCTTAACTCTAGTTAAATGCTCGCTTCTCATTCATCTAATGATTTTCTCGCTTTGTGTATATGTTCTTGATTACCGGGATTTTTGGGCCAATCAATTAGATTAAGCTTTTCAATTGTATAAAAAGGGGTTGTGCCCATAACATAATGCCTTGATGGTGGGATTGAAGTGTATGATGTTAAGTTAGTAGAGGGTTTTCACTTTTGTGAATAATGTTAAGTTAGCTTCTTGATGATGGGATTGACGTATATGTTTTTCTTTAACGAGTGAAGCGGTCTAAGCCTTGTTCTTTGGCTTTGGCTCCAAACTCTACACTTAGAATGGAAAAGCCCAAGTGTGAGGGAATAAGGCGTTTTGTGCTTAAGTTGTTGCTGTTTTACAATAAACAAAGCAAGTCTATTCAAGGGGGCATATGGTGTACCATTGAATTGTTTCACAAGTAGATAAACCCGTCATTTATAAAGGTGAGTTCAGCTTCATGCACCTACTTATTATGGAAACAATAATACTGTTGTTGCCCTCTGTTTTGCCTTTTCTTTCCGATTGGTTAAATTGACCATTTCATCTACAAGTTTGTGTGGTTGGGTTTATCATGGGTTTAAGCATTTTATGTTATATTGTCAAAGACACTCCATATGGTGTTGTTTTTTAACTATCTATTTCCCTTAATTTTATGGATCCTTTTCAAAATTTTCTTATTTCTATCTTCTTGCATTCTAACGAAGTCACTACGAAATTCGATTAAATAAACAATTATTTATGCTTTGCCTTTTTCTTTTAATTATTTTATATTTTATTTTATATGCCATTAATTCTATGTTAATTTTCAAAACATTAAGCTCGTACATACTTACGGGATATTTGGAGGATACTCGAAATAAAAATTAGACTTATTTGTGTAAATTGTGAAGTAGGAAGCATTTTTGAATGTTATAAGATTTTTGTTTTTGGAACTCTACACCTAGCTAGCATATTGTAGCATGTTAGATTCTTTTCCCTTTGATCATTGAAGAAATTTCGACTTAAGTTGAATGTCAATCATATAGGTATACCACAATAAACTCTTTTATGGTGATATTTTTTATTGATTCCCGATATTTAGTTTAGTCAAACTACTATAGAATATGGCATTATCTCTTTTGGAAGCATGCTTTCTACAATGGTGAACTAGGCAACCGAGTGAGGAAGCATGCTTTCTACAATGTTTCTTGATATAATGCTTACAACAATCAATATATTTTAGCTTGATACAGACGTGAAAATGTATTAGAACTTTCCACAATGAATGTTGATTAACGAGTTTTAGATAAATTTGATACCTACGAAATCTTCTACCATGAAAATATTTTTTAATGTTCTTGCATTCTAGCATAGTGAATCTACTAGAGATTTGTGTGTGATATGGACAATCTAGAAACTTTTTCTTTGTCATCTCATATTATTGTTTGGCATTATTTTTTGTTTGAAATTTGTTAATCATGCTTACGAAGCCAACCAAAGAAATAATAATTGCTCCAACTATCAACTACCGGTGATTTGACCTTCCCGCCAAATTATTAAGAGAAGCCTACCACTAATAGATGCCACAAGAACAATGGGCATTATGTGTTGCTTGCTATACTACATGGCTCACCTACCGGTGGAACACTCGAAGCGGTTTCCTTCATCGACTCTTATAGCCCGTAAGCTCGAAATTTGATCCCGCCGGGATTTACAAATCCTTTCCAAAATGGTTCAAGAGGAAACCAAAACCTAGGTACTTTCATTTTCTTATTATACCTCATTTTATACATTTATATGGAAATGAAACATAAAATATATGCATCTTTCTAAACTCGTGCATGTCCAAAAGCTAAGGTTAAACCAAGAAATTGCTAGTGGTAAAGTTAACACATAAATTTTATCTTGGATAATTTGTTCGGGAATGGATAGTAACCTACCGGAATTTATAAACTCCTAATTTTCTTGGCTGATTTGAAATTTGTACCCTCTCTTTTTGTGCAGCCACTACCAACATTGCAAGGACAATTTGAATCCAACGGATGTCATGCATTGACCATCACACATTATTCCTCACTCAATTGGATACCCACCTCGGGGATATAGAAAACCCTTAGAAGATTTTTGCATGATTAAAATTGTTGGTGACATTGTATCAAGCTACTCATAAGAAGATGGATGACAAATTTGTGGATTACAATGTTAGGAAAAAAATAGTACTAAAATTTTATTATATTTAGAATTTGATAATTGTAAATTTAAGAATATTGTATAATTTATTTAATTTTTTTATTTGCATTCAAAAAGATGTAACTTTTTCTTTTTAATTTATTTTTTTAATCAAAAAATGGAGTAAATAATTAAATTTGAAGGCGAAATAAAATTATAATGTTAAAAGTGGTTAAACAACCACCTTATAAATCTAAAATCTTAGGCGGTTATAAATTTCTACTTTGGGGCGCTTCGACCGTCCCTATAATTTAGCATTAAATTTAAAAAAAAAATCAAAAACATAGAGGCGGTTATCAACCGTCGCAAAAATTACATGTTAAAAAATTATAAAAGAAACGATTGGCATTGTAAAGGCGATTGTAACCACCTTAAAAAAATTGCCTCACAATTCCTCGACGGTTGAAAAAACCACCTCTACAACTTATAGACGATGGAATTGCGGACGATTTTGAGGCGATCCATAAAACCGCCCCTATAATTTGTAGAAGCGGTTATGATAGCTTTTAAAAGAGAAAAAAAAACCACCTGCAATGCTCTTTTTGGTGTAGTGTTCCCCTCTAAAAATCCCTAGTCAACTAAGCATTCCCCAGCGAAGAACCCTAATCAATCTTCTCTTTTTTCGCTAAAGAACCTTGATCTTTCTTTTACCCCTACCTTTGATCACAAGTTTTACTTTGAAAGATTTCCTAAATATATTGATTTTAAAGGTATGAAAAGAAAATAAAATAAAATAAAAACTTTTGCGAGGATGAGAAAGGTTTTGGCCTTGTTCATATCGAAGAGGAAAACTAATCTAAAAGGTGATTTAGTTTTGTTTGTTTAACGTCCAATTCAAGATTAGGACTTTTGCTTAACAATATCAATGACATGTGAATTGAAACCTATAAATTGGCCATAAATATTACAAGATGTAACAAATGGACTCCTACAAAAATTGAAAAGGCTACATAACAAAAGAGAAGG